CTCTCATTTAATTTCTGAAAGACCTATCTCGACATTTTAAAAAATTCAACCTCCAAAGGGGGGGGGGTAAAAAGTTGTTGCAATTTTTGTTTGCGACATACTTTATTTGTGGTTAAATTTACTTGAAACTTGGTATTGTATGCTGTTTGATATTATTAATCAAATGAAAAGAGCTTGCAACGTTTCCATGGGGTACCTATATTTTATTTGTACTCGGATTTACTCGAAGATTGCTCATTGTTGAAATTAAGCAAACCAACCCTTAAATGTTGTTGCTACGTTTTTATTTGAAATCTATGATGGCGACATTACATAAAATTAAAACGTTGTAAGCGTGAATTGGAAGTTAAAAGGTTTTATGGAGAAACAATATTAATTTCTGCGAGCGAAGCCGCGGGAAAAAGCTAGTAATTTTATAAAAGGAAATAGATTATAAGATAAAAGCGACAAAGTGTCGGAAAGTTGCTGTATATGACGTCCGGTACAATGTGATTGTTTTTAATCGGCCGTACAGGTATTTTTAATTACATCATATCTAATAAAATTAAATATTGGGATTTATAATCATTATATAAAAAAATAATGATAAAAAAATTCTGAGCATTTTGCCTTACCTGTATATCCATACGAATTTTCATAGAGTAAGATCCCAGAGTTGCCAGACATTATTTATTTTCTGAGTAACAATATAAAATAAAGAAAAATATTGTTTAATTATTATTAAGACCCTAAGTAAACCATTAATTACCGCGCTTGGGCTTATAGTCACAGTGACATTTTTATTGTGCCCGGGGTATGTTTGACTTCTAGAATTGGTGTGGCTCAGACTCAGACTATAAGTAAAATAACGATTTGTTTTCGCGAACTTTGAAGTTCGTTATTAATTTTGAACAATATTTTGTGAAACATTATGTAAAAATAAGCACTCAAGACTTTAAGAAAATAATATTTTTGTGTAAATTGGTCGTCGGTTCAAGTTAGTAGGTATGGTGTACACGTTTAAAGTGCATACTAACACTATTCTATCCCAGCTATTTTTTTTAAGGAAATTTCATTTATTTACTAGTAAAATGTTACATAAAAGTAAAATCATGCAGGTCTGGATTACTTCAAACTATAAAAAATAACTAAAAACTCAGAAAATAAGTACCTAATCTCTGGCGGCTCTGGAATCTTGGATTATTAGTATTAAGGGGAATGTTTATTTACCTAGGTGTATAATAACACTGTTAGTGAGTGCAGTAATACAGCGCTTACGATTTAAATTTCCATGGTTTAAAGTATCCAATACAAAAGGGTTGTGGCCGTAAATAGGCATTTAAATTTTTATGAAGTAAACTTTTCCTGTTCTTTTGTATTAAGGATATGTGCGTATACGTATATATGTTTGTAATAAAACCCCCCAGTTCAGTTATTACCTTTTACGTTCGGTGAGCGTCTCAGTTCAATTACGTCGAGTCGCGTCGCGTCGCGTCGTGGAGTCTCGCAACCGTAGTCCTTCATGTCAGTCACTCTTTGTACTTATTTCGGTAAAGGAAATTTAATTAAATTGGAGAACAATACGGACGTGCCGGTGTTGTAAACGACACCACAGTGCGTCGTTTCAGCCAATACGTGCTTAATACTGTCCAGCTTATTACCTCTTTACGACGTAACAAAAGTGAGAGGAACCAAAAGGCACTTATTTTAATTACTTTTTACTTGTTACAGACGTGGTTCTTCACTGACACAGATGATCCAGAATTCCAGAAAAGGACTGGTGAGTTAAGCCCTATAGATGTAATTGCTTATCTTATTGTAAGCGATGCCAAAATACAAGACAAATATTAAAATTTCATTTGAAATGACAACTGAAGGGGACCTGATTGAGAATAACTCAAAACTGGATGAATATGACAAAATTTGTTTAAAGCTTTTTTACTTTTTAATGTCTATACGCTCGGTCCGTCCCATTTTAGTTGGTCCAATATTGGATTTCTCAGAAATTGGTATTCAGAGGTGTTAAAAATAATGTATTGTTCGAAGAATTTTTTTCTTTGAATTGTAAGTCAACAAAATATTGCATATTAAGTATTAATTTACAGTACCATTTGGTGGGACCTATTAGGTAGTCACATTTTATGTTAAACTTAAATTATGCAGAAACGAACGTTGTTCTTTTTTATTATGAGAGCCAACAGGTGGTTTAGAGTAACAACTCCTATGTATTATGACGTTTATTTTTTCGTTTTATGTGAACTCAATCGCATATAACGTCGAAGGCAAACATCGTTAAAAGCTGCTGTGAAAAATCCGTCGTGTTATGCATTTAGGAATTTTATTCGAAACTGACTAAACGCCAACATGTTTGCGAAAAGTGGTGATAAAATTGGTTTAGAGTAAATAAATAAAAAATTAGGTATTATACTTTAAAAATAATATTTGAGAAAATATAAACTTTTGGATCCTTAAAAAAACAACTTATTTTTCTTAAAAAAAGTTTCAAGAGTATTAAGTAAAGAATACGTTAAAGAAGAAATCGGTATAANTATTATGCATGTATTATACATATAAACCTTCCTCTTGAATTACTCTATCTATTAAAAAAAACCGCATCAAAATCCGTTGCGTAGTTTTAAAGATCTAAGCATACATAGGGACAGACAGCGGGGGAAATGCGTTGGATGATTTCGTTACACAGCCACTCGCACGAAACGAACTTACCCTACACTTATACTTACAGACGTTCTCGTTTTATTTTTACAATTGGTATTCATACTAAATTGTTTAAAAGGTTTTCTTTTCAGTGTAAAGTCACGCAAAGTTTCGGTTTCCATAATTCATGGAATTATCCTTTCACTTAAATGATTCAGTTCAATTGTTTTGTTGCACTGTTAGCTACACTTACATTGTCCATAAATTCGCTGATGGCTTAATATAAAAATAGGTCCGTTAGGTTCTTCTTCAAAAAAGCAAATGGTTTCAAGAATTCTGTCTTTAATACCAGTCTTAGACTGTACTATTTAGTCTTTTTTTTAGAAAAATGCCGCTAAATGCGAGGCACGCTGCTATCAATTTCGTCTTGTACTCTGCCGATGCAGCAGCAAGAAATAAAGAACTCGTTGAAGCGTATCCTCCGGTACTTGCAATAAATGCCCAAGAAAGAACAAATTACGTTACAGATGACTTCCATTTCATATAAGAAGTTAAAGAAAGTACTGCAAAAGGACGTAATATACCAACGATAAATTGATACGTGTTAAATCTTGAAACCAATAAGCTAACCTACTATTTACTAATAGATAAAAAAAAAGATTATTTTTCTGTGAATATTGTAACACGTACACTCTACTATTACAAAGTTTAGAAGCAGTCACATCTCATAAAAAAACTATAGACCGTCAACTAATTGTAAAGAACAATTGCAATTTAATGATAAAATGATGATTAAGTATAACTTCTTCTTTCAAAATATCTACTTTTTTCGTTCCAATCTTTGCATTTTCCTAAAACAAGAACAAGAACTTGTTTTTACAAGTAATCGAAGTAACTATTTAGATGGAGAGTTTTCTAATGTGAGAATTGTTAACAAATTAAAACATTTTATTGACTTTTTTTATGTTTTACAATGTAACAAAAGAAGTTAAATGAAAAGATTTTTGTTGCATAAATATTGCTTTCATTGTTTAGAAAAATATACTTATGTAGTTTAAATTTATTTTTCAATAAGTTAAGGTCAATATCAATCCAATCGCCATTAAATTTAGCAATTTTTTCGTCTTCAAAGGCATAGAGAGAGGATAAGAACCAATTCCGAAACTTACCTAATAAAAAGCCACTCTGCTGCAGTAATTTTTAATTCCGATGTTATTGTGTATATTTCAATACTATTTCCGTTGCATGATCGAAAGAGAAAGGTTAAAATGTTACTAAATGTGTTAAAATAATTAAGTTTAACAAAAACTTATAGTTTGGTTAATGAGAAGAAGAAAAAAAAGAAGAAGATTGATTATACTTTTTAATGAATTCTGTTGCTATTTTCGTGATATGTAACAGTCCGTTCCACTAGAATTAAAACACAGGGAACGCCTTAAGATTACAGATCTTTATTACATCTAGATCTTAATTTGCAATTCTTATTATCTTGTCTGACTGTTGACGGTCTAGCTACTTTGTCTACGCTCCGCATTACAAACAAAAGAAAAATTAAACCAGCTGGTTGAAGAGAAACACTCTTGTTAGACAGTAAAAATATGCGTGGAGTAAGTTATTCACGGATTAAGAAGATCGAATCAGTTCAGTCGCAGTTTAAGTTAATAAAAATAGAAGTTGCTGTTTAATTGCTTATCTAGTAAACACAGCAGAAAATTTACTTAAAACTTACATAACACAAATTTTTTGGTAATATAAATAAAATAAAGTTTCAGTTTGTTTAAGATTACGTTTTAAAGAAGACCCAATCAAAACATTTCCGACATTAGTCCGTACTGGTGAACAGACCAAAAACTGTTTTGAAGGGCCCCGAATGAACTTACAAAGGGCAATTATACCTAATGCGTATTGTATTTATATACCTACATGAATGTCCAAAGTAACAAGCCAAAAATGTTCCATATGGTTTAATAAAAAGAAGTAGTGTCCACGTGAAAACTTGTCGAAGGATGCCTTGCGATATCGGTTAACGCAAATCTCACTTTCAGATGTGTTTCTAACTTCGGAAACAGGAGAAAGTCAACTGGGGCAATATATGGAATGTAGAGTGGATGTGATGACAACTATCCAGGTATTGTCCCAGCCGATTCCTCTCTTATTGAATATTTGCGTTCATTGATGAATTCAAAGATGAATGAAAGACAAATAGCAGGCTATCCTTGACATATTGATATTAATGTTGTAGACAGATCAGTGGTTTTGAAATGTGAGTCAATTATCATTTCAAGTTTTTTAACTTTTGTCCTTAGATCATATTTTGGTATGATATAAATTTTCCAGTCCAAAAAACGTTTTAGTCCCTCTTTTGATTTGCAACCTTAAGTTTTTCTAAAATAAAAGCACTTAAATATTAAAAATTTGATTTGCCACAATTGTTTATCTTTATTGACCACAATTAATAAAACTGGACCTAATCAAAAGAATCATAACGATACTTTTTCATATATAATCTACAATATACATTTAGCAAAATAATCTCAGGAATCGTACAGAAACCATCATTCCAACCAAAATTAAACAAACATTCAATGGTTGAGTATCGTAGCCTTAATGGTCTTTTGTAAGGTTTGTGCTATTATTTATAAAACTATGCTGAGTCTAGCAGACTTTTCCTGTGCATAAGGTCAGGTAACCCTGAAGATAAAAATTACTTTTTCATAAAAAGCCCCTAATAATAAAAATTTACCGCCTCGCCGCCATTATTTGAACCCATAAAACCTAACTTTTTATTTGTCGTCTTTATGATCCAATCGGATTTCGAACTTGAGCGTAAAAGTTCAGAAGATGCTGTCGTTTCTTTTTGCTTCCAGACGCATTTGTTATTGTTATCTGAATGAACTTATTATGCCTTCGGGACAACTCAAGTGCCAATTTACTAAAACAAATTCTTTCTCTGATGAATTCCAGATGGCCACATGATCAACACAAACTGCTCCTCATCTCATAATCGCAAGGCGCTCTGCTGCAAGATGTCCGTCGAATTTGACACATTCATCAACAGCGACAAGAAGTAAGTTTCCAACACAAACGTTTATCTGCACCATACGTACATACGCATGATTAACTGTTGTTACACAGTGAATTTGTTGATTTAGCAAAGTACATGTTAGATTTCCAACAACAATTTCGAAATTCATACATACACATACAATAAAATGATTGGTTCATACTGTGATAAGTTTTATTCGGTAGCATCTTACTTACTATTCTGATTATATTATTTATAATACCGATAGTCTCAAGAAACTAATAATAACTGAAAGATTTCACGGTGAAATAAAACCAGAAAAAAAGAAAAATTAAATAGTTTGGGAAACTCGGTAATCGTGTATAAAACTGATGTGCAGTCGTATGAATTATTTTAATTTCCTTTTTTATTTTATTTTGAGAAGTGAGGAGAACTAGAGGACCTTTCAATGTGTTATTCTCTGACCGACTATCCAGTCTTCAATTTTTCATACACCAGGGTCAACTTTTAGAAAGTTACCCCCGGTGGGTAGTTGTCGAAAAGATATTTTTTATTGAGGACCATAAATAAATCGCCTGTACGTTCAAAGGCCAGTTACGGCTATTGTACAGACGTTTTATTTATGTCCTCTGAAAAATAATAGTTTGTGTCCTCTACAAATAGAATAAAGAAAATATATTAAAGATTAAGTTGTTTCACTGAAACTTTAATAGTGAGAGATACAAATAAAATTTCTGTAGTGTGGTTCGCATTGTTCCAGTTAATGAGTAGTTAGAGAATATTAATTAAAGGACAAATTTACGAGTTCAGACGCTGTCCTATCGTCAATATTAAAAGGCGCAACAATACGCTATGTGGAGCAAGAATTATATGAGATTCCCACAGTATTTGCGACGGACCCAGCTTTATTGTTCGCAATATGATGCGTAATTATCTCTCTGAATTTAGTAACAGGTCTATTGTTGACTTGATCCACGTTTCCGTTCAGCTAAATGCCTTATTTCCTGAGATACTGCATCGTATAATAAAATATTTTACGACTAATGACAAAAGAAAGAGGAATACGAATACGATTGCTGATAATATTCCTAATTGGACTAACATTTAATAAATATCAGAAAAAGACAATTCTAAAATAGAATTCCTCGAATTATATGGGACCTTTCACAATACATGTCTCGTAAAATTCCCGCTCCCTCTTTACGTTACAAGACTTGGACTCCCTCTTCCAATAACGAAAAACTCACCGATATTCTGCTTCAAATTGCTATTAAAAATAAAATCTATTAATATGTTCTTAAATTAAAATTTATGCATGGCACCTCTTTGTTTAGTACATACAGTTCCTCCTCGATTGTTTCCGAAGGGAATTTTGTTCCAATTTGCTACACATTTTTTTAAATTTTATTTATTTCGAAAAAGTATGGGTACGTCGGTGTATGGGTGGGTGTTAAGCTACGTGAGGCAGAGGAATATTTACCAATGTCGAAAGTTTGTATTGCGCTGCATTAAATAAGATAAGATTTTATCTGCAGGGTTATCGTTCTGGGAATTTCAAAGCGTTTATCGGATCTGCTGGCGCGGATATGTCGAAGACCGTGTGCACTACGCCCAGAGTAAATTTACTTAAGATGTTCAGACGCAGCGTATTGTCAACCTCTCTCTTTAGTGGCATGATAACAAGAAACGAGTATCTTTCGAAATACGTTTGCTTGAAAGCTTTTTTAGACTACCTACTTATTGCTCTACACCAGCGGATCACATTTTATTTTCGGTAGTTAAAATATCATAAAAAAGAAAGAAAAGGCGTTTTTATCGCTACAGGTGTTCAGGTGTTCACTATGTTTATCGGTACAGAAAAATTAAAGTTTAAAATACGATATTTACCTATATACGACCTGAATTTGATGGATTTATTTTTAAGGATCATATAAACTTTACATTATGAGCGTATATAGGCAATTTATAGTTGTTAAACATTGGGAAACGAAATGAAAAGTCCTGAGACTTTAAAGGGCCATTAACATTATGATTTCTGAACATATTTTGTTGCCAACCCCCTATGACAAAAACGGTTTGAATTCCTAAACTGAATGGATATAATATTGACCCTTTCTCACGGGATTCTGATAAGCAGTGGCGGTTCGTGGATTGGGAAACTTATACAGTAAAAGTTCCTTATTCCCGGTTTCCTTATTTGCGTTTTCATTATTCGCGGGTGAAAACATTGCAACCCAGTTCCTGTATTCGCGGTTAAAAATTTTATTATTCGCGGATGCAATCGGTAAACAGAAAAAAATTCGGTGTCGTTTATTAAGGGGAGTGACCGCAATAGACCGCTCGTGCCTATTGTGAATTTTTCCGAAAATATGGGTTTCTATTCTAAACATTGTGATTTAACATTGCGAGATAAATATCTAATTTTTTGTATGGTAACAGACAAAGGTTCACACTAACTCGGCACCATTTTAGTTTTCAATAATATGGTCATTAATAGCTTTTACAAGTGCTTAAAGTTAGTGCTTCTTGTAGGGCACGTATTTTCAATAGAAATTAAGAAATTAAAAAATGGCCTTCGACAGGCTTTAGAACAAATCTTTATCTATATTACTACAAAATTTCAAACCTCTGTTCCAAACATTAAACTCATGATATCTAGAACCGATAAGCATGTTTTTACTTTACGGCGCGTGTACTACTGATTGTATCAGCATCTTTTGACTATTTTTTAAACTCTTGCATAAAGCTGATTATATGGATTAATTTTAATTGCGAATTTATCAATACATTGATTTTATTTTGATACATATTGGTTTTATTTCGGAACCTTAGAACGTATCCCATATGATTCCATACTAATTGCTATTCCATATCCACGGTTTCTGTATTCGCGGCATATTTATGAAACGTATACCCCGCGAATAAAGTACTTCTACTGTAATTAGATAGAGCATGCCCTCTAACACATCTCAGAACTTACATTGGGTACCTAGTACCAGTACCAGTGGACTGGTTGATCCTTCGTTATGTCTTCCCTGTTCGGGAACGGGTAGGAAGCGTTGGTATGCAAAATTTGCCACTGCCACACAGATGTTATGACAAAGGATTAATTCTTTATTTGGGCTTTTTTTATGTGTATGAAAGCTACCACAAGTGCTATTTGAAATATTAGAAAGTTCTTTAAGGTGATAAGGGTAATAATTTTTCACACGAAATTTCTTCGTTTATTGTAAAACAAACAGAAATTATACTCATTTTATATGAGAAATAAATCTCGATACAATCCATTAAAAGGTACCTACACCCCGTTTGTTTATCGTTAATTAATTTGTTACTGGGAAGTAAGACATTCATGTTTCGTGTCATTACCTACATCCAATCAATAAACTGTAAAAACATTTGAATTTTACGATTAATTACATCTTGCATTGTAATTACCACAGTAGATTATAATAAGTTAAGTATCAATATTATTTAAGCGGTTAATTGTTAAGTGCTCAATTTATTGATCGATTGTTTAACTTATAACAGACTGCTTGATTAGGGTATTGTTTTATTTACACTTTGGGTAATTGTTTCAATTTCAATTAACAAATTAAGTATATTGGTGCATTTTACGTTACATATTGTACCCCCACGCTAACATTATCAAGGATTATTCAAGGAAATTACGGTTATGTGAGAGTAGGACTCGAGCTAACTCCATGAGAATATGGTATGTTTATAAAAGTGCCTTTGTATTGTTTATTTTAATGTTTTTTTCCAATTAAAACCGAAATCTTCATCACCCTAATTAAAAAAAGCTTTCACTCTAATGATAATATTTTTTTAATTACTTAACCTGAAATTCTGCATAAATCTATAGTAGTGATAACCAAGTTGTCTTGCCAAAATGCAAGACCTTTTTAAGGTGTACAATATTGTAGTATATTATATTGGTCTATCTCGTAGGGTTTTGCCAGCGTTTGCAATGTAAGCGATAAACCTTCCTCTTGAATTACTCTATCTATTAAAAAAAACCGCATCAAAATCCGTTGCGTAGTTTTAAAGATCTAAGCATACATAGGGACAGACAGCGGGGGAAATGCGTTGGATGATTTCGTTACACAGCCACTCGCACGAAACGAACTTACCCTACCGTGCGTAAAGAAGTATCACTTCAAAAAAAACTTTAGAATCAGATTAAATGAGCAAGACCAAGGCCGAGGCTCAGACTGGGACAGTCTTGGTCTTAGTCTTCCTTTGTTCATCTCTAATCTGAAGAGAATTGCTTTTAGTGTTTAGTTTAACTTGGCGAAAAACAAACTATTGACGACTTTCTGCAAATGGTCCGCGCAAATAAATTGAATTGAAAACTTGGGATTAGCGGTATTTGATTTGATAATTCGTTTCCACTGTCAGAGGTAGCCGTTGTTCTTTATGCTCTTTTGTTCGCGCATTGTGCTTCGAACGAGGTGAAGACCCGAACTTTTTCTCTACGGTACATTAGGATTATTTGCTCATAAAAAGCAGCAACTTTAAACTTGAGTAGCAGTGTAAATATTTACACGTAAACCCGCCATATATGTTTGTGTATATCTGGACATGTGTACGTTATGTGCTCATGTCGAAGTCGTTTTATAACAGGCATGTCTTCGCGTATTTACACATTACCTTACACGTTGTATACCATATTTTGCTCGTTGTACACGGTGTTTAATTGGAAACACCGTTTTTAACTGTCGCAGCAATTACGTTAACAAATTTGCGCCCACGTGGAAAGAAAAACGAATTTCAAAATACATTATTTCGTTTAGCAACAATTTCCATGTTGTAGCGTTATTATTTTTCTGCCTTACTGAATGCTTAAAGAAAAATCGCTCGAATGGAAATGTCTTTCGAGGTGGACCATTTGAGATTATTGCTTCAATGAGATGTTTTTTCATTCAGGGACGCTCTTTCTATTAATCGTCGATGATATATCTCGAAGGAGGATAAATTTCCAATAGAAATCCACTGAGTAGTTCAATAATCAGAATTGTAAAAAAAATTACAAAAGTACA